AATGTTTTTCATATTTCCCATTTTTACCCATTTTCATATATATATTTTGTATTTAAGTTGTGATCATCGATTAAAATCAAGTATAAACACGCTTGACAGTTGTGGAAACCGAAAGACCTCAATGGATGTCCGACACATGCAAACGTACCCAAAACTGTACCGACAAAAGGGGTAACTGGTGACGAATTATTGAACGAATTTGAATTGTTAATGATCAAGAAAATGTAATTTCACTTGTAAATGACATAAGAGATTTGTTTAAAATAAAAAAAAAATCAAATTGAGAATACGCCTAAAATTGCATAATGCAAAAATATATCCTAATTGGGCGATGGGCTAGAAACCTCAATCTCATACCGCCTTCCCGACTTCCCACCTCGCCTAAACGGCGGTAAATCGCCCAATCTGGCAACTCTGACTGCCGAGTTACCCGCACAGGCAGTTCGCCCAGCCGTCAGATTCGACGGTGGCGGCATCCTTCCGTTGGGGTCAAACTACTTTTGGCTTGGGGTCAGACCAACCCCGAGATCTGTGCCTCTACTTTAGTCAATCCTCTTTGCACCCGACTCACATTTACCGACAATTCGACCGGGACGCCGCCTTTCCCGTGNTATATCCTAATTGGGCGATGGGCTAGAAACCTCAATCTCATACCGCCTTCCCGACTTCCCACCTCGCCTAAACGGCGGTAAACCGCCCAATCTGGCAACTCTGACTGCCGAGTTACCCGCACAGGCAGTTCGCCCAGCCGTCAGATTCGACGGTGGCGGCATCCTTCCGTTGGGGTCAAACTACTTTTGGCTTGGGGTCAGACCAACCCCGAGATCTGTGCCTCTACTTTAGTCAATCCTCTTTGCACCCGACTCACATTTACCGACAATTCGACCGGGACGCCGCCTTTCCCGTGGGGTACCAACTATCATTTTTGGAGTCATTCAAACCCCCCGATCCGGGCCTCTACTCAGGTCTATCCTCTTTGTGCCCGTCCTCCGCCAAACTTAACGAGTGCGAGTGAGAAAGAAAATGGAGAAGGAGAGAGAAAACATTCCAACTCGTTTGAACGGTTGGAACGTTTTCGTTGTTCTTCAGCGATCTACACACAAAGGGATTAATTCAATAATAATAGATTAATGAATGAGATTTTTCGCAGATTATTGCGAGATTTAGATGAATGGTGTGCCTCCTTCAGTGACCATAAAAAATTGTCTCCAATCGACAATATCTCCCGATGGAATGGAACGATGTGAATAAATNGGAGCTAAAGGAATGAAACCAAAGTCTACAGATTGAGAATTGTATTTTTAATAAATGACATCGGTTTCATTCCTTAATCTCAAGTAGGAGCCGAGGAATGAATTTTCGAAAGCACGGAGAAACCCCGAACGGCTCTCCGACGTCGAGTGAGCCCGGAGGGGCTCCCCCGATTGGAAAANCCTGTATTTACCGAGGAAAAAAAACGTTGTTCCTAGGAATCGATATCTTTTTTTAGGCAGCTGCTTTTCTGAAATGCAATGAGCAAGCAATGTTAAAATTAAGTCATTTTGTAAAAAATTTCCATTGACATGATCCTGAAAATCAAAGGAAAGTCTTGAATTCAGTAATGATGTCTGTAGGTTCCAGTAATATATTCGCGGACATTCCGGGAAAACTTATTGAGAATTTTCATCGCGTTGCCGTAATACGCAAATTTCAAGGAATTTCATTACAAATTCAAAATTTCTATAAATTTCCGTCCAATTATATGTGTACATCCACGTGAAAAGGGCCCATTTTGTCGCATCTAATTTCCGAGATATTCACGTTTTTCTCTCCACTCCATTCATCCCAATGTTAAATTGATTCTTTGATCTTCTATACGGACGTCACACGGAGGAAAATAAATCGGTAAAAGTCTTGCGATTGCTAGGAATTTCCCGAAGATCCCCATTTTTCATGCACGAAGAACAATGAAGTTTTTTGGAATCTTCGGGAAATTCTATTCTATCCTACTCAAGTAGGAGCGGAGGAATGAATTTTCAAAAGCGCGGAGTAAACCCGAACGGCTCTCCGGAGGGGCTCCTCCGATTGCAATATTCATTTCTTCCCCCCTAATTACGACGAAAAAATGAAAGCAATATCTATCGATAGAGAATTATATTTTCAATAAATTACAGCGGTTTCATTGCTTAATCTCTATTAGGAGAGGAGGAATGAATTTTCAAAGCGTGCAGTAACTCCGGACAAGTTCTTCTCATTCAAAAATTAATTTCTCCCCTCCCTAATTGAGATGAAGGAATGAAACCAAAGCNGGAGCGGAGGAATGAATTTTCAAAAGCGCAGAGTAACCCCGAACGGCTCTCCGGAAGGGCTCCCCCGATTGGAAAAGTCATTCCTCCCTCCCTAATTACGATAAAAGAATGAAAGCAATATCGATCGATGGAGAATTATGTTCTCAATAAATGACAGCGGTTTCATTGCTTAATCTCTATTAGGAGAGGAGGAATGAATTTTCAAATCGTGCAGTAACTCCGGACAAGTTCTTCTCATTCAAAAATTAATTTCTCCCCTCCCTAATTGAGATNGAGGAATGAATTTTCAAATCGTGCAGTAACTCCGGACAAGTTCTTCTCATTCAAAAATTAATTTCTCCCCTCCCTACTTGAGATGAAGGAATGAAACCAAAGCCTACCGATCGACAATTGTATTGTTAATAATTGACATCGGTTTCATTTCTTAATCTCAGTTGAGAGCGGAGGAATGAATTTTCAAAAGCGCGGAGTAACCCCGAACGGTTCTNTGCTAGGAATTTCCCGAAGATCCCCATTTTTCATGCACGAAGAACAATGAAGTTTTTTGGAATCTTCGGGAAATTCTATTCTATCCTACTCAAGTAGGAGCGGAGGAATGAATTTTCAAAAG